GTGGGCGGGGGGGTGGGGGCGGGGGTGGCGGTGGGGGGATGGCTGTGCCCCTGATGTTTGTATGTTTAGAAAGCCGGCTTCATCTCTTGTGTTTCTACAGCAGTGTCTAAGTCTAGGCATGATCCCTAGATATTTATAGTAAGTAGTTGTTTCTTGTAACTGCTACAGGGCGGCAGTTAAAGCGTCGTAAGGATAATATACTGCTTGAGCAAAGTCTACAGGTTCCTGTGAAGTTTTGTTAAAGCTCTCGGCCTCGGAGTACATGCTGATGGGGAAATAAACAGCAGTTTGCTGTAATGAGGATCCTGCTGTTCAAGTGTGAAACTTCCTCCTCAGTGGTGAGGAGCTTTTAATAGCTCGGTGCTCTTTGCCGTGTGTCGTTTTTGTTTGCTGGATTTACTTTAAATAAACATGCAAATGTTATGCTAACATATTGGCATACTAATGTTTTACACTAGTTAAATTTTCCTAAGCTGTCTAAAACTACGCTAGTTTGTCTTGAGGTTAAGACAGTAAGACATCTCTGTGTGTTTTCTCTGAGTATTGTTTTTAAAGGTTGTATTTGGATATTAGAATGATTTATGGTTGTTGATTGTCTAATGTATAAAATGAATAATTACTAAATTTATAGTAGTAGTAAAATAGACTTAAATGTGTCATGTATTGCTGCATTTACAGTAAGTGTCTTAGGTTACAAAAGAGAAATCACAGAAATAACATATATTACAGGTTTTATTTTACAGCTTTAGCTGTTAGAGTGCAAAACACAGACTAGCAAATGCATTTCATGAATTTTCCACAGACAATGATAAAGTGCCATTGCCCCAGTGCAAACATTTACCGTTGCCCTTAGTTACAAAGTGGATGCAAGGTAAACATCTAAAGAAGTAGGCTGTGTTAACAAAGGAAACGAACCATAAACTGTCAGATTAATGCTGAAGTTTGTGATAGGATAGTTTGGATTTTAAATTCTGAATGGATGGGAGGTGTTCAAAGACAGTAATATAGACATCAGTCTAGTGAACTGTGTTAGTTGGAGAATTATTAATTATTTATATTATTCATTATTCATAATATTCATAATCGTAGCTATTGTAAGAAAATTTGTTCAAAAAAATCATTGTACGCTGATCTTTTAATCTGATATATTTGTAGTAATTTCAGAAACATTTTATACACCAATGTTCAAAAGTGTGGGGTCAGTAAGATTTTTTTTTTTTTTGGAAAGAAATTATCAGCAGGGATGCATTAAATTGATTAAAAGTGATAGTAAAGACGTTTATAATGTTTTCAAATAATTCAAATAATCTTTTGAACTTTCTGTTCATCAAAGAATCCTTAAAAAAGTATAATACTTTTAAAAAAAATATTAAGCAGACTGTGATAATAACCCATTTTCAGCTGTGATAGTAATAAGAAAGATTTCTTGAGAACCAAATTATTATATTACAATGATTTCTGAAGGATCATCTGACACTGAATACTGGGGAATGCTAAAAATTCAGCTTTGCCATCACTGGAATAAATTGCATTTTAAAATGCATTAAAAAGGAAGACTGTTATTTTAAATGGTTATATTGTTAAGCTTACTGTAGAAATACACAACCAATCAATGATGTGTATAAGGATATGAATGAACAGCTAAGATTGATGCACATGTACAGTGTATCAAATTCATCCTCTAAATCATTACAATCACAGTTTTAACCATCTGTGCCTGAATTGTCTTGTCATAAGGACCTGTTATGAAGTCCAATAGAGAATTTCCATTAGTAATATAGGGTAGTCATAGCCTGTAGGAAAAAAAACGTTGACGGTTGAGTAGCGATATGCTTGTTAATGACTAATTTGATATTTAGATGTTTCCTCATACAGTGACAAATGTGTTAGTCATATGAAGCGTCATCAAGATTTATGCACATTTGTCCAACTGTAATTTAAATGATGTGTCATGAGAGATTCTGTGGTGTATTTTTGGACATATTTGGATTTGTAGATGTTGGAATGTCATGTTAGGATTTTAGAATAAAATTCAAAAGAATCAAATACTCTTTGTTAATACTTTTAAATAATACTATTATTGTGTTAGACCATAATTCTAGATTACATTTGAGTTGCTTAGCCTGAAATTTCTGACAAATGTGCAAGCACCTGGAATATTTCAGCAAATGCATTGATATTTAGATCACTTCTTCCTCTGAGATGAGAAGTCAGTGTTTCACAGAGCCAGGGTTAAGAACCTCGTTAAGTCCCATCAATTCAACCAGGACATCAGTTCACCCATTGATGACGTCAACTCTGCTTACTGATACTATCTTGTCTTAATATTTCTTTGCCCCCTTGAGTAAAATGTTGAATTTGAACCCTACAGAAACCACCACCTGCAGGAGATGTCAGAGTGACACAGGTACTCTTCTGTGTTCTAGCATTTTTTGGCTTGTGAAACACATCTAGTGGAGAGCTCTCTCTCCTTCTCTCTCTTCATCATCATCACCCTGGGCATTCATTCTGTTTTTTTTAATTCATTCGTACGCAGTCACAGGAGATGAATCACGATGACGCAGACGCTTTTGATGTGCTTCCTTTGTTGCGGGGGGGTCATTGGCTTCTGACTGAGCATCCATACCTGTTTCACAGACGCATGGGCTGCACTGTCATCTCAGATTATCCTGGGATTTTCTCCCATCATCTTTTGCGAAGGCACTCTGTAGGTTTACTGCTCAGGTTTTCAGCTTTTTTTCCAGACTGTGCAGCTCATTGAACAGGAATGACGTCCCCTTTTGTGGTATTTTATGTTCAAAACAAAGCCTTCATCCGTGTGTCACTCACTTCTAGGGCTGCCCTGTGTCACGTGCCAGTCTTTGTCAGCTCTTCTCCGTTTCATTGCAGTCATTCATTCCCATTTTAGCCGAATCTGTAGCGACAATGCACTGTGCCGTGTGCTTCAAATTCCTTTCCAATTCAAAAGAGCATCAAGCTGTTTCGATTCTCTCAAACAGACAGCAGAAAGTCAGCGAGCGCACATTGTGCGGATGTTACTGCGCTGTAGGAGGCGCATTACATCTGTCACTGACAGAAACAGACAACGACGTGATCGTTTATTTATGCATTCAAATGAGAAATATCAGTTTCACCTGTTCAAGCAGCTACTCTGTGGTTGTGTTTTTGGAGTGTTTTAATCTGACTGTATGTGTGTTGTGCCAGAGAGTGTCCTGAATGGTTACGTCACCCGTTGTGAGCGGAGGTCACTTTGTGGCCTGTTAGCCTCAGTTAGGGGTTAATAACTCTTGACTTGTGTGAGTATGTGTAGACTGCACTCAGGTTCAGTGCTGGCCTTAATTAATATGTGAGCCTCTCGTATGTGAGGACCTGCTCTGTGTCATTAGTTAATAGTAGTGTGCTGCCTGAGCACATGTCTGCCATATTGCCAGTCACTGAGAATGGAGGGAAGACTGTTTCCATAGACTTCACTGTGCCACAGTTCTTTTTTTACAGTTAGAACATCCCTATTAGCAGGCCCAGATGGAATCTGCTGCCGTTTTCCCCTTTTTCCTATACCTTTCCTTTGTGATCGATGGATCACGTAGGATGTGATCTTTTTTTGTTCTTTTTGCAAAATTCTTCACATGCCTTTTAGTAAGTTAAGTATGGATATTACTAACATAGTAATTTAAAAAGCTGCGCTAGTCAAAATTCCAACATATTCTGTGAATAAGAAGTGGACAGGACATAGATTGTGTAATTCTTTTAGTGAGGTTGGGCCTTTGGCAGAAAATCAGATATTGAACTTTTATTTTTGGTAAACATGGTAAAATGTGTTCAACTGACCTGAAAATACTATGTTCTTTTCTTACTGATAGCAGGAAGCATAAGCAAATTAGCCAAAATATTTAAAGCTGCAGTCTGTAACTTTTGGCACTCTAGCGGTTAATAAACAGAACTGTATGAGTCTTGCGGAAGACCATTGTAGCCGGAGCTACTTCTCTCTGTTTATGTCTATGATGAATCACGCAGGTTCCGGGCTACTCCGCAGCGGTACCTGCCCGAACCAATCTAAAATAGTCTGAATATAAACACTTATTATAGGTGTACCTTAGTGATTCAGGACAAGCCAAAAACATGGTTTGGAAAATGGATTTATGGTGTACTCGCTTATTATATAAATTTTGTAAATTTTGAACACAAAAAAGTTACGGACTGCAGCTTTAATAAACTAACATGTAATTGGAATGTGTTGAACTTTGTGAACTTTTGCAAAAAGAACACATGCATGCCTATTAGTCAGTTAAGTATGGATATTACTAACACAGTAATTTAAAAAAAATCAAAAATATGTTTTAGCTGTGAGAATTTTGGCTCTGGCATGATGTTTCCTTGTATACACCGTTATTAGCTTGTGTTTTTCTAGTCTTTTCTTGTATTCCCTTCACAAACCTGCATTTTTCTGGTGTGTGTGTGGTGGTATTACACAAATCTCTATGAAGGCTGTTGGGAAGTTCTCCTTTAAGCTGCTTACACTCACTGGAAAATACCTGCATTAACAGATTGAAGTATTTAGGATGGATACATTTGAGGAATTCGTAAAAAATTAGGCTGAGGAAACCATTATTTTCAAATAAACTGGTTATCCGCAACTTGAACTAAATTCATAATCATTTTCTGTTTTGTTTTTTTCATTGCATGAATGACTTGAAAGCTTTGCATAAAAGCTAGTTTGTCATTTTATAGTTTTCAATAACAACAGCTTTTAACAGTTTCTACAGTGGTCTCTATCGCCCATGGCCAGCATCTGCTGTTGGATTTCTCTATGGTTGGTTTTAGAGGTCAGGTAAGGTGCTGTGATGATCTTAGTAAGGTGAGGATGAAGGGCAGACACAGTATGGTCATGTGGACTAGCAGGGTTGAGTATTTTCACTAAGTGGTTCAGGAAGGTCAGCCGACATGTCTGCCAATTCACTGTGGCATCGGTCTGAGACTCTCACGGATTCACAAATTGAGAAAAAAGGTCTCTGAGGACATTTGAAAATATGGCTTGTGTTATGAATTACAGCCACATTTCATGTTCTAGATGTCCTCGTGAGGTTTGAAATCTTCCCACTTTCCAAAGCTGCACTAGTCAAAATTCCAACGTATTCTGTGAATAAGAAGTGAATGAGACATAGATTGTGTTATTCTTTTAGTGAGGTTTGTTTAAAGCATTACCCTTGTTCCAAAGCCTAGTGAACTGCCTACCTAGCTTTTTGAAGCATTGTGGGTTTAAAGCATCATTTAAAGCATGTTTTGTCTTCCAAGATACCAATTTTTTTTTTTGCCAAATTTGAGCCAAACCTGCATCCTTTACCAAGAAAGTAATACTTAAATGCATTGTTACAAGCTCTGAAAAAAAATCCAAGATGGTGGATGAAATCAAAGAAAAGTTGACTGCAAGTGAGCTTAAATTCCAGGAGTGAAGTTTATCGATTAAAATGGTATGAAAAGAAAAACAACTTAAGACAACATTTGTGTGTGCTGTGTATGATCATATATATTGGTGTTTTAGTTTATCAACATGCTAACATTAACCTCAATTGGAATCAACTAGCAGAGTGATGTTTATATAGGTGTGTTGTCTATGTAGATTTCTTAAATCAGTCAATTATGAGGTCCCATTTCATTTAGGATGCTGCCTGTGTAGGTAGTAGGACAGCATGGCAGCTCAATAGATTTTTGGAACAAAGCCTTTGATTAAACAGTTAAGTTTCCACTTGATTTTAGCTCAACTCCCTTGTCCAAACCACCTTTTACTGGCATCTACCTTTTATTAGCAACATCATAATCAAAAAGCTCATAATTAGGCATTGAAGCCAGTAAAACCGAGAGTTTGGTCGAGAAGGGGTGCTGGCAGAGACGAAGCAGCCAACCTGAGAAGGAGTGACAGGCAAACATTCTTGGGGCTGCTTCAGAAGCGATTTGGGTAACCGAGGGTGACCTGGATTCCCTACATACTGGATCATTTGGGGATTTACCCTGGTCAGTTATTCAAAGCCCACTAAACCTGCTTGGAGAGCCTCTTCTCTAGACAAAGAGCAGACAGGGAGGGGGGTTGGTTTGTGTAGTGTCTGTCTCTCTGGTCTATTTTGCCAGAAGTCTGTAGAGCCACAGGCTGTTGTCCCCTCAGTAAGATGGTTTCTGGTGCAGTCTGGCACCTTTAGAAATGGCAGAACATGGCTAATATGAGTCACAGAGCTTGTATGGATTGCATGGATCTTACAGTTTTAGCAAATGTTGCTGTCTGCTACTTTGGAGTGCTGTCTTTTTAAAAGTGACAAAACTGTCTTAAAATTATTATTGATCATATTTGAGATGTAGGGATTTTAAAGAGGGTTTTGTTTTATTGTAGTTTTTTAATGTAATTTTTACTGTTTTATTTTTAATTTGGCTTTACAGTTTAGTTATTTCGCTTTTATTTTATAATTGTTACTTTCATTTGTACTTTTTTATTTAGTTATTTTAGTTTTAGTATTTTAGTGCCAAAGTTAATGCACTAACTTTGGCACTAAAATATACTGATGTTATCTAAAAATATATCTGATATCATCTAAAAATGTTTAATGTTATTGAATTTTAAAAGTGGGTGTCAAGTTTTAGAATATACCATATATTAAAAACATTTGTGATCATTTTTGTTTTAGTTTAGTTAATTTTGGAGTCAGTTTTCCTGGTTGTGTTTTTATTAACTACATTAACAAAAATGTTTGACTAATTTTTAGTTTTTGTTAACAGTAACACTGGAAGCACCGCCCACCTTTTCTTCAAAAAAGTATGTATTTATATTAACATTTTAACTGTTTTATGATGACACAATATGCCACTGTACACTGATTTGTAAACACTGTTAATGTCTTTGTTCTCACCCTGAAATGATTTCTTACACTGTGTTTAACAACCGTTTTTGAAGCTGCTGTGTTGTGATAAATGGCACACTAAGTATGCTAAGTCTCAGACTGTATTAGAGTCTGGCTGGTGTAAGCAAACCTCAGTTTTATCATCTGGCATGGCTTTGTGAGAGCTATGCTCTGTGTTGGTACTCGTCTCTTCCTGCTGGGATCACTGCCTGGTGCACACCGCTGTGAGCCAGCCTTGCCACCATAATGCCCGCTGACATAGACCCAACACACAGCCATGCCACCGAAATGCCCATTGCCACAGAGCTACAGTAGCCTACTGCCAACTTAACACTCAACACAACCCTTTCTGGAGCAGGTGTCTGGCAATGCGAGCAGAACTAAATGAGGGAAGGGAGGCAGATGAAAGAAAAACTGAGAGAGGCGTTTTAATACAGGGAATGAAAGAGAAATGTGATTAATGCCGATTTACTGGTGAGTAAGGATTCATGAATATCATTTGTTAGAGAAACTTTCCTTTTGGTCCTCTCTGCTGCTATTTGGTAATGCTGTAAAATACAGTGGGATGTAAGGACAGCATGACTGCTTAACAACAAAAAAAAACATAATAAATAATAAAACATGCATGATTTTGTCCACTTTAAGTCAAATAATTCTAAGAAAGCTCCTCTGTTCCTCTGCGCTTGCGCAGTTGTCTACTTGCACAACAGGAGTTCTATGCAGGCGTGACTACTGCAGATTAATTAGATGTCGTTTGTCTTGAAATTCCTCCAATCTTGAGACATTTTGTTCTGCTGCTGGTGCTTCTTTGTGTGGCAGGGTTTATGCAAAATATATTGTATGTACGCTCAATGATATCTTTTCTGTTACTGGAGCATTTAAAGAGTAAATGAGCTAAATATTGGACCAAAAATCTGTGCATCCCTATTGATGAGAGAGATCGCGTTACAGTAAACGTTACGCATTAATATGACAGCACGGCCCCGTGGGTAGTGTTGGAGGCAATGATGTTTGCGGGAGAAATGGTGTAGCTGTATTCAGCAAAGTGAGAGGGATATGGTACGCTGCCGGAAGGTGTTGATGATTAGGTTGTTTTTCTGTGAGTTTACTGGTTGAATTGCATGCAGGAGAGCTCTAGTCTTTGTTACATGTGGGAGGCATGCTAGGCGGGGAACAACAGTTGAAAATTGGCAGGCGGCGTCTGGCTGTAACCTGTCCTATGAGCTCTAAGTTGGTCTTTTGTGAGAAAATAGCAGTTGCCAGCATGCAGAGGTAGTGATTTAGCTGGCCGATAAGCTCTCTGTAATGGCAGGGTAGAGTAATTCTCATTGAAGTAGGTGGGTGATTCCAGCCTCCCGCTCCAATCCTGCTGGGACGGCTTTCACGCCTGTCGCAGAGAGGTGAGAAGCGTTCTCTCTGAAACAGACCCCTTTGATATATTTACACAAACGCGATTTTCTCACTGTAATTGTGTGTTTGAACTTGGAAGGGAAAGTGCGTCAGGTGCCACTGGGATATTGAATAACTTAAAGCTGTTTCTTGGAAGAGCTCCAGTTCAGATTCTGCAATGCATTAAGGGTCCATGAATTTTATTCTGAAATGGTTATTAATACAGGAATTAAATGACTAATGTCACACAAATATGAATGAAAATTCCGCTCCATTACTTCAATCCTCCTGTGGTTCCAAACCTCTTAGACCTTCTATCTTCCTTAAACCACAAAAAATGATGTTAGGTCGCAGCCCTTTAGCAAAAAAAAATGCCAACCAGGGCCTGTCCAACTCAAAAAATGACAAAAATCACCATAAAGTATCAAAAACTGTTCCATACAACAACTTTGTGTGAGGAACTGATCGAAATAAATCCCCTCCACCTTACTTCTCATTTGTGCATTTTCTATATATGAAAGTTTGGAATGACATGAGGGTGAGTAAATAATTTTTGTGTGAACTATCCCTAAAGTGCAGACTGTGGTAAATAAGACTGAGGTGTGTGTTTTTCAGGAGCGTGTGTGCTGGTTTACGTTCCCCCAGCAATAAAAGCGCAGGAGAGAGCTGAGCAGTCTTCATAGTCATTACTGGCTGATCGATTTAGAGAGGAAAGAGCCAAGACAGACGTCTGTCTCTCTGCATCAGACTCTGAGAGAGACATTCTGGACTCTTGACACCACCCTCTCTGTTCAAATAGCCGTAGCAGGGTTTTTTTTTTCACTCATCTACTGTCTGTGAAGTAGATTTAGAGAAGAAAGAGGGGTATTGTTCCATGTATGAACTCGACTTAGGGGAAAGAGAATATTTTATAAGGTCCCTTACACAATCAGTTTGATGGCAAAGGAAGACTAGAGGTGCAGCACTACTGAAACAGTTCCTGGCTTTTGTTCTTGTTCTGTCAGCGTGTGATACAGTTTTTGGGAGAATATTTTTTCTTCCTTGTTCTCTGTGGGCAGCTCTGAGTCATTCTATGAAACAGGCACCTTTTTTTATGTTGGAAAGGCGATTTTTAAAGTACATTGCTGTATGACTTTAAATATTCTGCCAGACAAAGAATGTCTTTAAGTGCTAATAAATTGCATTGTGCCACCTCAAGTTAAATTATTATTTTGTGGGGCTCCGAACATGTGACATTGGAAATGTGATGAGGTGGAACATTTTTAAAAAGTGTTAACATTATCAGAATTTTTTCTAGTTTATATAATTAGTTGAATATGGGGTATTTGTCAAATGTTAATCTTGTCAAGCATGTAAAAAGATTCATTCTGGAAATAATGAGTAGAACTAACTTTAGAATGATTATTTGATTATGATGATTATTTTAAAGTAAATAAGTAATGTGATTAGTTAAATAACCTGGATTTATATATGTTTAATATGTTTCAGTGCTACAAATCTGAACCCAATTTTAAAGTTAAAACACTTCATAGCAGTTGTTTGTGTTTAGTGCACTTTATCAGATGTTGTTGACACAAATGGTACTCTTGTCATAGAATGACTCAGCTAGTAGTGAGTATTTATCTAAATAGTGTCACTTGGAAAGTATAAGGACCGTTTGTATGAAGAGCACTTAAATGCAGCACTCGCATTTCAGCCGTGTGTGGCGTGTAGAATCGATTAGACCAGGATCTGGCCACATGCCAGCTGCTGCCATCCCGAACCAACTCCATCACCATGGCGAGAGGCTCGTTTTGTCACCCCTCTCAGGAGTAAAGTGCTGCCAGGACACATCACCGGCATGATTCACTGTCCTCAGCACTGATTCTCATCTCCCATTTCTCGCTCTTTCTCTCCCCGTCCTCCGTCATCCTCCCTTCACGAGAGGAGAAGACAGGTCTTCTGTGGTAGTAGCACTGCTTAAAGTGCACTGCAGATGAAAAGCATATGATCCTATGAGAAGCATACTGACAAGCTATTATAGAGGATCCCAAGCATGCTTGTGCCGCTGCTGTTATTGTAGTGACCTCTAGTGGTAAAGACATGAACTGATTAAGATTTTGCAACACTATCACAACACTATTGCAACACTGGCATCACTGATGGTGATCACTGCTTACACTTAAGGTTAGATTTGAACTGTAAAATATACAGACATTCAAACATAAATTACACCTGAATTTGTCAACGTGTTAAGGAAAGATGTGCTAATACTTGGCAGTGAGTTTTGCTCCTGCTAAATAGCAATCTGAAGATAAAATAAGCAAGATGTTAGCCAACTGTTTAGCTAACAGGTGATTTGTCTCTGTGCCAAAGATCCTTCCTGATCTCTCTTTCTCTTTGTCTGTCTCTTTCTCTCCAGCTCTCCTGTCGTCCTGGTGCGAGGAGCTGGGACGGCTGCTCTTGTTGCGGCATCAGAAGAATCGTCAGAGCGATCCACCGGGCAAAGTACCCTTGCAGCCGCCCATGAACTCCATGAAGCCCTCACTCTCACATGGGTCAGTACCCAGACAAAACTCTGCTCTAACCCGACGCTTACTGGAGCCGTTCCAAGCAATGTTAAACTTACAGTAGTCTCGCCCCTTTCTCATAATTTCCTCCTAGTGCACTCATCCAGCACAGAATTGTTTGTTTTTATATGTGGCATGTGATCTTGAAGACGAGGCTTTTCCGAGAAGCCATTGACCAAGCTTTTGTTAACAGCTCTGTAAACATGACATCACTGAAGGCTGTGCAGATGAAATTCATTCTCACAATGTTCCAAACAACAGCAGATAAAAGCATGATATCGTAACATTACCATCTAGGTACGTCAACTAGAAGTTAATAGAGACTGATAGATTGCCAGAGAAAATGCTGAGGAAGTTCACTAGCTTAGTGATGTTTTATAGAACATTTTGTGCTCCAGGGCTGGTGATTGGCCACTTTCGCAAACATTACAGCTTCTTTTTCATGGAAAAACTAATGTTCTGTATTCAAGAGGGAGCTTTTCTTTATCGGGCTGTGTTGGAGTCAACTTTACTCTCTCAACACATGTTTGATGCCCCTGATCTCACTTTACTGTTTGAACACTGTTTTGTAGTGATGGGTCCTTTCCATATGACAGCGTCCCCTGGCAACAAAATGCTAACCAGGCCCCGGGCTCGCTGTCGGTGGTTACGACGGTGTGGGGAGTTACCAATACATCACAAAGTCAGGTGAGTCACGCGTATAGTGTCACTGTATGAAAACAGTAACAGTGATAACATTGATCTTATAACAGATGTTGCTTTTGATCTAGGTCTTGGGTAACCCCATGGCCAATACTAACAATCCCATGAACTCTGGAGGCAATGCACTGGGGACGGGTATATCAGGCAACAACCCAGGGATCAACTCACCTCAGTTCCCTGGCCAACAACAACAGTTTTCAGCCAAAGGGGGATCCAACCAGGCCTACATGCAGCAAAGCATGTATGGGCGTCCAGGGCACCCAGGAGGAGGAGGCTTTGGTGGAAGGTAATATTTCAAGCATTAGAGATGCCGTTCCAGACAGGATGATGGGAAGTTGTTTGACAAAGTTGCTTTGCATCACTTTGGGAGATTCAATAAGCTATAGAAGAGTCTCCCATTAGTGATACTTGACACATGGTTTTAAAGCCCAGCCAATACTCAGTTCAAGGATGTTTTTCTTGAAAGGGATGATATCACCTTCTTGCTGTGCCAAGTGCAAATCCAGGAAAGATTAATTTGGCCTTCCAACAAGTTTTATTCCAATAAATATACATTTTTGACTGTGTAAGCTGTGATGTAGATGTTTATGTGTTGTGTATTGCTTCTGCTCAGTTACCCAGGTGGGCCGAATGCTCCAGGTGGCATAGGCATGCCCCCTCATACACGACCGCCCTCTGATTTCACCCAACCTGCTGCTGCTGCCGCCGCTGCCGCCGTCGCTGCCGCCGCCGCCACCGCAACAGCTACTGCCACAGCAACCGTGGCAGCCTTGCAAGAGACCAATAAAGACATGAACCAGTACAACCAGGTTGGTCCCTCACTGGTTTTGGCTTCTTACCCTACCCTGGGTTTCTAAATAAATCCTCTTATTCATCTGAACTGCCGTTGGCCTTCTCCACAGGTCTGCTCCTCTTTCCAGATGGGGCCTACGCAAGGCTACAATAACCAGTTCATGAACCAGCCAGGGCCCCGTGGGCCCCCGTCCATGGCTGGAGGCATGAACCCAGCTGGTATGGGTGGTGGCATGAATAGCTCCAACATGAGTGGCCCGCCAATGGGTATGAACCAGCCCAGAGTCCCAGGGATGCCCTTCGGTGGCCACGGCCAAAGGATGGCTCAACAGGGTTACCCTGGACCCAGACCTCAGTCCATGCCCATGCAGGGCACCAAGAGGCCCTATCCAGGAGAGGTAAGACCACCAATGGCTAAAATAGACTTTCAGCAGATATTTTGTATTGGCTATTTGTGTTGGTGAGCCAACTGTTTTTTTCACAGCCTAATTATGGAGGCCAGCAGTTTGGACCCAATGGCCAGTTTCCCAACCAGCAAGGGCAGTACCCTAACCCAAATGCTTCTAGAGCTCTTCCTTCACCCAATTACCCTGGGCAAAGGATGCCAGGACAGCAGGGCTCTGGCCAGTACCCCCCTACTGGGGTAGCCATGGGCCAATACTATAAGGTAAATTCATATTGCTTGGTCTTTGCAATGTTAGTAGACACAATTTTCTTGAGGAAATTGTGTAATTCGGCTCACACTTTGGAAAAGGCCACATTCAGCTTAAACTGGCAAGTTTACTTTTGGTAGGTAAAAGAAAATAAATAAAATATTAATAGCAGCTATCTTGCTTTCTTGCTTTACACTCTGTGTGCTCTTTCCTATTTCAGCAAGAGCCATTTAATGGTCAGAACAACAATTTCTCTGGAGGTGGTTATGGGTATAATCAAGGAAATGGGGTAGGTGGTGAAACTATTGTTTTATTTTCTTACACAATTATGTGTAATCTTCCATTTGTACTCAGGGTAAAATGTACAGATTTATTCAAATTATTCCATTCAGTAATCATGTCTATCTTTGGTTAAAGCCTCCTCGGCAGGTGGTGAACTACCCACACTCGCCGGTTCCTGGGAACCCCACGCCACCCATGACCCCAGGAAGTAGTATGCCGTACATGTCGCCCAATCAAGATGTCAAGCCCCCGTTTCCTCCAGATATGAAGCCAAACATGACGTCTCTGCCTCCACCTCTAAGTGAGTCACGCAAAAAAAAAAACACACGACTGTTTCATTGCATTGATCTCCGCTCTGTCTGTATTACAAACTCGGTCACAGTCTATCAGAATAAACCCCTGAGAACCCTTTGATCCGCCACCTGCAGCTGAGTGGGAAAAAAAGTCCCATTGCACATTTATCTGAGATTCATGCATTTTTCACATCCACTCAGAGCTCATTCATAATATATGTGCTACGGTGGGAAAGGGTGAAACTAGGTGAGGTGAAAGCCAAACTTGAAAGCATCTTACACATTGATACTACGGTCTACATGGGAAGACTATGAATCCATCTAATCTCAATATTTGTTCCTGTAGCCAACCCCAACGAGGAGCTGCGTTTGACGTTCCCAGTGAGAGATGGAGTGGTGCTGGAGCCCTTCAGATTAGAGCACAACCTGGCCGTCAGTAACCACGTCTTCCATCTGCGCCCCTCCGTCCACCAGACGCTCATGTGGAGGTGTGCATGTTACTGCTATAAACTGTGCATGCTCTTGACAATGACATCCTTAATATTTAATGATATTTCTATCATTATTAATATTTACACACTCTCAAGTTTTTCCAAACCTGTATGATTTTCTTTCTACCGTGGAACACAAAAAGTTTAGCAGATTGTTCATGCTTCTCGTTTTGATAGAATAATAGTGAATGGTGATTCAGGGCTATCAGTCTCCAAAAATGACAAAAGACTGCCATAAAAGCTCTACAAAAGCATGACTGTCTGTCACAAGTCTTCTGAAGCTACATTTTCCACTAGATTTGAATATATACATAGTCACATTACACAGAAGTGAGGATTTTCACTCAATAAAGAATTGCATTTTGGACTTTTACTTACACAAAGCTATTGTATGACCTCAGAACATACACTTGTGTTTAAAGGTTTGAGGTCAGTAAGTAATGAAATTACAGGTTCATTTTGTAATGAAAAGTCACCATTCACTTTCGTTAAATGAAATATAGCAGTGTGAACATTCTGCAAAACATCTTATTTACAGTATGAGTTGGAACGTTATGAGGACTGTTCCATTAACACTAGACCATTCACCTCATGTCCAACAGATCTGATCTGGAGCTGCAGTTTAAGTGCTATCATCATGAGGACCGACAAATGAACACCAATTGGCCCGCATCCGTCCAAGTCAGCGTCAACGCCACCCCCCTCACTATTGAGAGGGGTGACAATAAAACATCCCACAAACCCCTGCACCTAAAGCATGTGTGTCAGCCAGGGAGAAACACCATCCAGATTACGGTCACAGCCTGCTGTTGTGTGAGTATTCCTCCGCTGCCTTTCAATAATTTATCTGTCTGTCATTTAGTGGCCGTGTCGGGGAGCGACTGATTATACTGACTGCACATACAGCACGTGATATGAAATCAGATCTCTGCCTTCCCACTACATTTGCTGGTATCAGTTTTATGCTTCCCTGTCTGAAAGCTGAATGGTACAGATACTGTATCATGTAAAGGATATTCTGATGTGAAGATGATTGCTAGCGGTTTGTTGTTTGGTCCTGTTGCAGTCGCACTTGTTCGTGCTGCAGCTGGTCCATAGGCCGTCGGTGCGATCAGTTCTGCAAGGGCTCCTCAAGAAGAGGCTCCTTCCTGCCGAACACTGCATTACCAAAAGTAAGTAGATGCTGCATTCTATGGAATCTGTGGATGTCTGTCACTCTGTATTATCATCTTCATCAACCCCTAATCTTTGCAATGTCTCTTGTCTGTTTTCCTGCAGTTAAAAGAAACTTCAGTAGCGTAGCAGCGTCCTCTGGGAATGCCACACTAAATGGAGAGGATGGAGTAGAGCAGACAGCCATCAAAGTGTCCCTCAAGTGTCCAATCACATTCCGACGGATCCAGCTCCCTGCTAGGGGACATGACTGCAAACACGTGCAGGTACGCATCGTTGAAGTGTTCTTAATCATGTTCTTGTTTTCCCAAGAAAATCTAGAAATCTAAAGATAAATTTCCAGAATTAAGATGATATAAGTTTTTTTGTTGTTGTTGTTTGTCAGCCAAACCCCTTAGACCTAAAATGTTTCATTGAATAACCCCCTGAGAATTAAGTTAATATTTCAATAGTTTAACCACATTTTCATGTTCACGGTCCTCTGATGTTGATTAGTGGTCACATGTCATGCAGGTAAACTGTTTGAGATGTGTGTGTGTGTATATATATATATATATATATATATATATACAGTGGGGTGTACATTAATGAGGAAAAAAATTAACTTAAATGATTTTAGCAAATGGCTGCAATATAACAAAGAGTGAAACATTTAAGGGGGTCTGAATACTTTCCGTACCTACTGTATATATATAAATATTTTATGTATTTATTTATTTTTAATGACTGAATTAATGATCAACTCACAAACCTTACAGTTCCCTCATGAACAATTTGGGAAACCCTGATTTAAGATAATAATTCCTTATCAGAGTCATTGAAATAAATGTTGATGTTTCTGATTGCAACAAGCAAAACCTATATGAAAAATGTGTCAAACATTTTTTAGGAAAAACTAGAAAAACTTATTAGGAAAAATGTATATCATCTTGTTATTTTCCTAATTTTAAGGATGTTTAGACTTATTACTACAAAAACGATAAAATACTGATTATCATAATGATAATTTTAGATTCTCACTCATTTGCATTATGTAAATAAATGTGTTTGGGGATTTCCCACATCATAAATGCAAAACTTGTGGCAAATGTGTGAATCAAAACAAATTGTGCGAAAATCCCACAATCCTATGCCACTGTTACTGCAATTCTATATACCGGTGTATATATATATATATATATATATATATATATATATATATATATTGATTGAATTTACATTAGATTTTCTGTTGCAGTGCTTCAGTGCTTAGTCCTATCTGCAGCTGAACTGTGAGAGAGGAACGTGGAGATGTCCTGTATGCAAGTACGTGGCAAACCACACAAGAATTGTTTTGGGCAGGCAAATAAATGTGATGCGCTGTTCCTCTTGGCTGTGTGTTTTATATGTTTCTGTCTGTCCCCAGTAAATCAGCATTACTGGAAGGGCTGGAGGTGGATCAGTACATGTGGGGAGTTCTCAATGCGATTCAAAAGTAAGTTTATTACTCAAACATTGGATCACACAGTTTTTCAGTACGAGTCCTGTAAAAATGCACCTGAGATATGATTGTTAAATTATAAACATCATATTATTTGCAGTCATGAATGTTGTTCCATTCTTGCAGTTCAGAGTTTGAAGAGGTCACCATCGACCCTACGTGTAGTTGGAGGCCGGTGGCCATAAAGTCAGACATTCATATAAAGGAGGACCCAGATGGCCCTCTGGCCAAGCGTTTTAAAACCATGAGTCCCAGTCAAATGATCATGCCTAATGTGATGGATATGATCGCCCAGCTGGGTCCCGGCCCTTCACCCTACACCCCCCTCCCCCCTCAGCACGGAGGAAACAATGGCGAATATATATATATATATTGATTGAATTTACATTAGATTTTCTGTTGCAGTGCTTTGACTTAGAGTCCTATCTGCAGCTGAACTGTGAGAGAGGAACGTGGAGATGTCCTGTATGCAAGTACGTGGCAAACCACACAAGAATTGTTTTGGGCAGGCAAATAAATGTGATGCGCTGTTCCTCTTGGCTGTGTGTTTTATATGTTTCTGTCTGTCCCTAGTAAAACAGCATTATTGGAAGGGCTGGAGGTGGATCAGTACATGTGGGGAATTCTCAATGCGATTCAAAAGTAAGTTTATCACTCAAACGTTGGATCACACAGTTCAGTAAGTGCCCTGTAAAAATGCACCCAAGAAATGATTGTTAAATTATAAACATCCCATTATTCGCAGTCATGAGTGTTGTTGCATTCTTGCAGTTCGGAGTTTGAAGAGGTCACCATCGACCCTACGTGTAGTTGGAGGCCGGTGGCCATAAAGTCAGACATTCATATAAAGGAGGACCCAGATGGCCCTCTGGCCAAGCGTTTTAAAACCATGAGTCCCAGTCAAATGATCATGCCTAATGTGATGGATATGATCGCCCAGCTGGGTCCCGGCCCTTCACCCTACACCCCCCTCCCCCCTCAGCACGGAGGAAACAATGGCGAATATGGGGGCCACAGTAGAGGTCAGCACCTGATCAGATTCTGTTCTTTCCTTTCTGTCTGTCTCATAAAACAGTCCTTAGCGTTTTACAAGCTTCATTGTTTAGTTACGCTTAATTTTTTCCCTTCAATCATAACAGTCAGAAGAACTTGCGCCTGTGAGCTCTTAACAGGCTGGTTTCCCATCCAAGCCGTCTAAACCTCTCTAGCTCTTTGTCTCTGCGATTCTGAGGTCATCGCTCCTCATTACCGTTTCTCTGTTTTGTGCATCAGGCAATAGTTACCAGGGCCATGGAAACTTTGACTTCTCTCACAGTAACTCTGGTGGCGGAGCTCCCATGAATGACTTCATGCACGGACCCCAGCTCTCACATCCTCCAGACGTGCCCAACAGCCTCATGGCCCCCGACAAGCCTCTCGCCCACAGCATGCCCGACTCGGTAAATCACTTCATACCCTTAGGTTTCCAAGCAACAAGAGCTGATGTTTGAGACATATTTTATTTTGTTTATAGTAAAATTGGGAACAAATTACTCCAAGATAGAGACCCCCCCCCACACACACACAATCTCCTTAAAAATTTGAGGTCCAATGATACTAGAGTAAAATGATGCATTTAAAAAAAAAAACTAAAAGGAAGTGGCTAATGCCTTAAGGGGTTAGTTCATTGTCATCATAATTGTCATAATTTACTTTTCATTTTTTAATGATATCGACACACATACATGTGTGTCAGGCGTTAGAAGAAATCTCATTGGTTCTTGAGCATCACATGCACGTTTGGGCTTCCATGTTTACCAAATGTAATGTGCGTTATGTATGTATGTATGTCGATCATTGTTTAAAAATTTATATAAAATAAAAATGAAATCTGTTTATATAAAGTGATCACACCTGTTTACAGAACTTGGTTTAAACCACTCAATTCATAATGGATTTCTTTTATAATGCCTTTATTACCTTTTTGAATCTTTTAAGTTTTGGTTACCTGGACTTTCAGTTGACTTTCAGGTTGCATTAAAATATCTTAATAAGGGATGAATCTGTAGCTTGTGAAAGAAAAAATTTTGCATTCTGTGTTAGCATGGTAAACTTTGTCTAAGAGGTTTGGTCCCTAATTCACCCCTTTTAAAGCCTCGCCGCTACAGCTATCAAAGCACGTATGCACCTCCAGAAATAACTTGAGAGAAAATTACTGTCAGACTTTGCCTGCTGGCTTACCAGTTCAGTACTGCCATTAACATTATTACTTTTAATACTAACATGAGGTGTTTTAAAATAAGTCTCATATTTTACACCTGCTGTGAGCAATGATCTTCTTACTAATCAATCTGCAGGTCTCTGTTTTTATGTGTTGATTTCAAACTCAAAAATCTAAATCGCCCAAAAGTATGCAAATTAACCATCAGTATTAAGACCAAAGTATACTTCGGTTTTGCGTAGATGAATTTGTCAAATATATTGTTTTGCAAATCATCTTCGTTTTATGAAGGTGTATGTGCTCTGGAATCATCTGCATGGCACCTGTCTTGCTCTCTGTCTGTCTATGGCTGCCACTCGAGCTCGTGCTCCACTTTATGCAGATAGACTCATCGCTCCTCTCTCCTCCCTCCGCAGATGCCCCGTCCCGTGAGCGCTGATCAATCCCATGCTTCCATGCAGCCAGGCATGCACGCAATTCCTCACCCCAACAGCCAGTTAGCTCAGCCATTGCATCACACCGGCCCCCCATCCTCCCAGCCCCCACGCCAGCCCCTGCCCCCCCAGCAGCCAGGCCAAAACAGTCATCCACATGCCGACATGACCTTCAATCCCGCCGCCGATGGGCAGGCAGGTGGCCAGGGACCTGCAGACATGCCCGAGCCTTCTCTGGATGTGAGTATCTACACTGATGGTTGTATGGGCTTCTTCCATTTCTAGAGTCATGTGCCACTTACATTTCTCACACAGTCATGTAAGCCTCACGCTTTCGTCATGGTCCAAAGCTCTGAGCAATCTGAAAAGTTCTGATTTAAGAAATATTCTGGATTCAGTACAAGTTAGGCTCAATCTTTTGAGCATTTGATTCATAATGTTGACATAATTACCACAGAAATTAATCTCTGGGTTACAATGAGAAAATTACAATGGAATTGAACATTTAGAATTTAAATTGAGTCTGCAAGCATTAAAATATAAAAATTTGACTTACTAAATCTTTGTTTAAAGTTATATCCAATTTTAGAATGTCTTGACCGCTTAATGCCATATACCCTAAAAGAGTATTGCCATAAACCTCTAAATGATTATTTAAACAGCTTTACAGCTCAAATAATACTCAAACAACAAATAACGCTCAAATAACACTACTTTTGACTAATTTAATTTACCTGTCATTTATAAAATTATTAGCTTAAAGGGATACTCCACCCCAAAATGAAAATTTTGTCATTAATCACTTTACCCCCATGTCGTTCCAAACCCGTAAAAGCTTTGTTCGTCTTCGGAACACAATTTAAGATATTTTGGATGGAAACCGGGAGGCTTGTGACTGTCCCATTGACTGCCAAGTAAATAACACTGTCAAGATCCAGAAAAGTATGAAAGACATCATCAAAATAGTCCATCTGCCATCAGTGGTTCAGTCTGAATTTCATGAAGCGACAAGAATACTTTTTGTACACAAAGAAAACAAAAATAACTACTTTATTCAACCATTTGTCTCCTCACGCACCACACGGATACGTTTTCTACATTTATTTACGCTTTGGTTTGAACGAAAACAGCGTATCCGTGTGGTGCGGCTGACATAGAACAGCATACGCAGTTTGCGTTCAGTGGATACTCTCCAAAATGTAGCTACAGTGACGCGGAGGAGTCGGAATCGTTGAATAAAGTCGTTATTCTTCGCATACAAAAAGTATTCTCGTCACTTCATGAAATTCAGATTGAACCACTGATGGCAGATGGACTATTTTGATGATGTCTTTCATACTTTTCTGGGCCTTGACAGTGTTATTTACTTGGCAGTCAATGGGACAGTCACAAGCCTCCCGCTTTTCATCCAAAATATCTTAAATTGTGTTCCGAAGACGAATGAAGCTTTTACGGGTTTGGAACGACATGGGGGTAAAGTGATTAATGACAAAATTTCATTTTGGGGTGGAGTAACCCTTTAATTATTAGCCAAAAAATTAGCCCAGTTCATTTCTATTCTCAGAGCCTCATTATAACCTTTTTTTTATTTAATTTTTTTACTTTTTTATTTTTACAAGGGTTGAATCAAAAGTTTTTTGTTGTTGTTGTTTTTCCTTCTTATATAATGCCACAAATACTGTCATCTGAGCTTAACATGTATTGAACCCAGTATATTTTTAAGTTTCTTTATGGTCATTTGCAAGATTGTAACGTAAATGTGTCTGTCTGTCTCTCTCTGTAGCTTCTGCCAGAACTGGCGAACCCAGACGAGTTGCTGTCATACTTAGACCCTCCTGACCTCCCAAGCAGCAGCAATGACGAGCTGCTTTCCCTTTTTGAGAACAACTGACTTTATTCAGTCTGCCTTTTGCGGAGGTCCTAATTTGTTTGGCTGTCAGGAATCGAGAGGCACCTGAAGACTGACTCTGTACTTTGCAAACAGGAAACAGCCATCCTTTTGCCTCTTCCTCGTGTAAATATCTCACTCTTTTACAAGCAACCTTTTCCACACATATATGGCAGCCATGTTGGTTGGCATTAAAGTGATATCTTTCAATACTAATGGAAATACATGTGCAGCTATAATCAGTTCATATGAATACGTCACACAGAACTGTGTGTGTGCTCACTAGGAAAGTATTGTAGCATTTTTAATTCAGATTTTTTTTTTCCTTTTGTGAAAAGAAGACCTGAATAGAATATATATATATATATATATATATACAGTGGGTACGGAAAGTATTCAGACCCCCTTACATTTTTCACTCTTTGTTATATTGCAGCCATTTGCTAAAATCATTTAAGTTAATTTTTTTTCCTCATTAATGTACACACAGCACCCCATATTGACAGAAAAACACAGAATTGTTGACATTTATGCAGATTTATTAAAAAAGAAAAACTGAAATATCACATGGTCCTAAGTATTCAGACCCTTTGCTCAGTATTTAGTAGAAGCACCCTTTTGAACTAATACAGCCATGAGTCTTTTTGGGAAAGAGGCAACAAGTTTTTCACACCTGGATTTAGGGATCCTCTGCCATTCCCCTGTACCGGCCCCTGTGTGTCCGCAATCTCTTGAAGGTTTGTTCTTCCAAGCTCTACCACCACAGCTTCCCAAGTCCTTGTCTGCTGGATGTCCACACTGTTTGTCTGTCCATCTCCCTCGAAAAAGCACAAGAGAATGCGTCAAACAGCACCTGGAAGCCTGTAAAGAAGACAATAAAAGGTAAAAAAGATCATCTCGGAATCACCAGAATGATCTAACCCTCCCATCCCAGAGACTAATGATGGGAGTTTTGTGAAAGTCCTCCAAACACTCCCAAACTCTCACGCCACAGGACACGAGAATGTGTTCTGTTCTAGAACACCGCGCAGCTTTGCACCTCATTTTGTAATGTGATTCATATGTCCAGCACCTTCAGACATATGCATCATGTTCTAAACAAATGCTAGAGGGCATCACGGCATGCATTCTTTTCCTTCTCGAGACAGAATTGCAAACATTTCAGCACTGTACCCATAATATTGTGCGTCTTCCGACAGACTGTTCCTCCTCCCGCAACGTCCTGTGGATTCTCCACACTAGCGGTCACAGAGCAAGAAGAAAGCAATTCACATTTCAAAGGGAAGTCAGTCTTGTGTCATCTGTCTTCTCTGTGAGTTCTCTTCATGCATGAGGCTTGGTCGTCTTAGGCCCTTGATGTTTGTACCCCTCTTCTGACAAACTGCATACAATGTTGAAACATTCATTGCCAATCGCCCCTTATTTTAAGTGATACTGTTTTTTTTTCCTCAATCATTTCTTCTGTTCTGTTTTAATTCAGCCTTTTATTCATGAACTGTTGTGTTAAAGTTTTATTTTATAATGCACAATATATTGTTCATATAATGGTAATTATTTGTTTGTTTCTGTTGTTACAATTGTAAAAATTTACAAAAATGTGTACATTTATCACAAGATGTCCATGGATTACCAAAGTTATGCACCCTGATTTGAGAAGGTGGCCCAAACCTATTTTGACAAGCCCATTTTTAAATTGTTACCCATAGAATTTAATCAAATGTACAGTGTTTCACTTTTAGCAATTTGTTTACAAGTAATATCATAGTTATTACACCGCAAACAATGAAGAAAGTGTTAGAATGTTATATATTTATAGATTTTTACTTTTTAATTCAATTATATAATGAAAATATATATTATCTCAATACCCATCAATGCATTCAATTCTTACAGAAAATGTACATTTCAGTAAAATTCCAATCAAACTTTTATATCAGCAGCTTAGTGAAGGTTAACAACGTTCATGTGTACAAGATTGATTTTCTATAAGATTTCTTTTTTGTTTTTAAATCAAAATGGCCCGCTTGAATAATTGTCAGTATTTATGATGTTTGTAACGACATTTCCGAGATACTGATGTTACTCAAAGACTGTTGAAGAAGGCTGACATCTGTACAATTGAATACTGTTTGGGAAGTGTTTTGTTGGATGAAACATCACCATTGAAAAATGTTTCCATTTTAAGTTATTTTTTTATGATTTGCAATATTAGTTTTTAGTTTTTGGGGTTTTTTCCCTGTTGTTCTTGGTGTAGAATTATGTACAAAAATGATGTTTGTCGTTGACAATTTAAATACTTAGAACTCCCAACAGGAAAACGTGGGTTCAAGTTCTATAGCGTTTGTCTGTAGTTCACTTGTATATCCTTTTTCAAAGATGCACTACCACGTATTCGTTCCCACTTTGTAGACACAAATAGGCATAAACTGAACTTAAAGACTCTGCTCTGAGCTGTCATGTACTATCGATGTACAGTCGTTGAAGAGGCAGTGAGTGCTCGGGCAGGAACAGAAAGGTTTGAATGAAATAGACGGTGTGTTCACTACTCAGCCACAGGTGAAGGTCGAAGGAAAAGGGGGGAAGGGGCACATTAGGGATGCATGTACATATGTAAATGATAAATAGAGACACGTTAACAGAAATGTATTCATTTTCCCCAGGGGAATGTGCATTGTGTATTTAGAATTTGTAAAGCTTGCATCCACCCATCAGAATCTAAATTGGGTAAAATGAATCTGTGTTTGTTAGCGTCTGTGGAACCTCTAAGCATTTGTTCACTTTTGTAAAATATCCATCCCACATGACTGAGGAATTTGGGGAGGGGATAAAAAGAGACACATTTGTTTTACATTTGTGTAATATTTAGCTTACGTGTATTGCTCCATTTATTGTACTTAATAAGGTGCTACAGAAGATAATGAAGAAAATCCTGGGGAAATAATTTGGACAATAGGGACACGGGGCCAGAAGCGGTTCCAAAAGATTGTAACCAAAATCCAGAGTTTGTACAATTTTGATATCATGATCAGGAAAATTAAAAACAAATATGAGGTACAATCTGAGGTGATTGGCACCAAACGTTGCAGTTGTCTTTGCTTGTACATTCTGTTGTACAATCATTTCATATTCTAAACTGGTCAGAAGAAGAAAAAAACAACAAAAAACTAATTGTGATTTTTAGTCTTGCAAAACTGTATGTAGTTAGATGCTGTGACATCCTAATATTTATCTAATAAATATGTATTCAGATGAAACAACCTTCCGGCGTTTCTGATGTTTCATTTGGTGTGCATGCGTAGCTGTGAGAATCTGCAGTGAAAAACCACAGGGCTTTACAGTTACTGCAAGAAAACAACCACAAAGTTCAAAGCAGAAGTGGGAGGCAAATGTTTTCTGTGTGTAAAAAAAGGCTTTCTCATGGGAGCACATGGGGGATAACCAGGGGTTAAATTGGGATTTGTTATGTGGGTGGACTCTATGGTATCGAGCTTATATATATGTGTGTGTGTGTGTGTGTGTTTTGCTTTTTGCAAATATGATTTAATCTGAAGCAATATTCTCATCAGTTTTCTATCAGATGTGTAAAAAAAGGCTTTCTCATGGGAGCACATGGGGGATAACCAGGGGTTAAATTGGGATTTGTTATGTGGGTGGACTCTATGGTATCGAGTTTATATATGTGTGTGTGTGTGTGTGTTTTGCTTTTTGCAAATATGATTTAATCTGAAGCAATATTCTCATCAGTTTTCTATCAGCTGTGACATATAAATCTGCGTGTTTTTTATATTTTATCCAAGGGCCTTTTTTATTTTTGCCTTTATAGAGGGCATTTTCCCTCTAATCTCATTAATACTTTCATTTCAGATTCTTACATTTGATCTATAAATTCAATTATAATAACGTGATTATCTATACGTTATCAAATTAAATCATTTACACTGAAAAATACAACTGCATTAAATAATTATTATGAGATTATTTTAAATATTTTTGAATATACAAACAAGAAATTATGGTGGAAATTATACTTTTCAACTAAATTAAAACGCCAGTAGGTGCCAGTAGTGAGCGTTTAATGAGTGGGTCATTGAGTCGTTCATTCAAACGATTCGTTCAAACGGCAGATTCATCAGATGTTTATGCATGGGCTAATGAAACTTTGACTCAACCGATTCGTTCAAAACACGGAATCAATCAGCAATGAATCGGCTGGTTATTGTGAGATGTGCTGTTTCCGCCTAAAATGTAGCCTAAGTGACCTAATATCATTGTATTTGCTTATTGAACTGTTTATATTTGTTAGCGTTTGTGGAACCTCTAAGCATTTGTTCACTTTTGTAAAATATCCATCCCACATGACTGAGGAATTTGGGGAGAGGATAAAAAGAGACACATTTGTTTTACATTTGTGTAATATTTAGCTTACGTGTATTGCTCCATTTATTGTACTTAATAAGGTGCTACAGAAGATAATGAAGAAAATCCTGGGGAAATAATTTGGACAATAGGGACACGGGGCCAGAAGCGGTTCCAAAAGATTGTAACCAAAATCCAGAGTTTGTACAATTTTGATATCATGATCAGGAAAATTAAAAACAAATATGAGGTACAATCTGAGGTGATTGGCACCAAACGTTGCAGTTGTCTTTGCTTGTACATTCTGTTGTACAATCATTTCATATTCTAAACTGGTCAGAAGAAGAAAAAAACAACAAAAAACTAATTGTGATTTTTAGTCTTGCAAAACTGTATGTAGTTAGATGCTGTGACATCCTAATATTTATCTAATAAATATGTATTCAGATGAAACAACCTTCCGGCGTTTCTGATGTTTCATTTGGTGTGCATGCGTAGCTGTGAGAATCTGCAGTGAAAAACCACAGGGCTTTACAGTTACTGCAAGAAAACAACCACAAAGTTCAAAGCAGAAGTGGGAGGCAAATGTTTTCTATGTGTAAAAAAAGGCTTTCTCATGGGAGCACATGGGGGATAACCAGGGGTTAAATTGGGATTTGTTATGTGGGTGGACTCTATGGTATCGAGTTTATATATGTGTGTGTGTGTGTGTGTTTTGCTTTTTGCAAATATGATTTAATCTGAAGCAATATTCTCATCAGTTTTCTATCAGCTGTGACATATAAATCTGCGTGTTTTTTATATTTTATCCAAGGGCCTTTTTTATTTTTGCCTTTATAGAGGGCATTTTCCCTCTAATCTCATTAATACTTTCATTTCAGATTCTTACATTTGATCTATAAATTCAATTATAATAACGTGATTATCTATACGTTATCAAATTAAATCATTTACACTGAAAAATACAACTGCATTAAATAATTATTATGAGATTATTTTAAATATTTTTGAATATACAAACAAGAAATTATGGTGGAAATTATACTTTTCAACTAAATTAAAACGCCAGTAGGTGCCAGTAGTGAGCGTTTAATGAGTGGGTCATTGAGTCGTTCATTCAAACGATTCGTTCAAACGGCAGATTCATCAGATGTTTATGCATGGGCTAATGAAACTTTGACTCAACCGATTCGTTCAAAACACGGAATCAATCAGCAATGAAATCGGCTGGTTGCTGTGAGATGCGCTGTTTCCGCCTAAAATGTAAGTGAAGTAATATTATTGTATTTTCTTATTGAACTGTTTATAGAACTATTAAACAGACGTAATGGTGAAAACGTTGTGGGATGTTGCCTAACTAACTGTATTTTAAATATAAAAGCTTTCCATTTTGGGTAAATGGAATTCTGATTTGGGAATGGCTAATTCTAATTGGGTGGGCAAGACAGTCATCTGGGTGGGCTCAGCCCATCCCTGCCCATGCCTGGAGACGGTGTCCTGACATTTTATCCTACCCGTCAGATTGTCGTACTAGGGCTTACTGCGCATGCGCACATCAATATTGCGTCCTTTTTCTCACGCTAAATAATATTTAATATATCTGCATTATTGTAAGGGCAGGTAGGGTAGGTGTAGACTTTAATAAAACACAATCTAATAGGTAGAAAAAAATATTTATTGTTGGTTTCCTGTAGCTGTATCCCTTCTAGCCAGCTTTCCATTTTGGGTAAATGGAATTCTGATTTGGGAATGGCTAATTCTAATTGGGTGGGCAAGACAGTCATCTGGGTGGGCTCAGCCCATCCCTGCCCATGCCTGGAGACGGTGTCCTGACATTTTATCCTACCCGTCAGATTGTCGTACTAGGGCTTACTGCGCATGCGCACATCAATATTGCGTCCTTTTTCTCACGCTAAATAATATTTAATGTATCTGCATTATTGTAAGGGCAGGTAGGGTAGGTGTAGACTTTAATAAAATACAATCTAATAGGTAGAAAAAATTATTTATTGTTGGTTTCCTGTAGCTGTATCCCTTCTAGCCACAACCGCGAATATAACACATAATTGCTGTATTTGCATTACCGTAAGGGTAGGTGTAGTCGTTAATAAACCATAATTTTACAGGTAGCATTTTTCGTTGTCGAACTGTACTACCCACTGTTTTAATGGGAGGTAGCAAAATCTGACAGGGTAGCACAAATCGTCAGAACACCGGCCCCATTAAAAAGTAATTATTCGACTCATCAGACCACATGGTGTCGCTGTTGATTTGAACCTGACGCTCTTCTGGCTCTCCTTTCCTTGACCATAGAAGAACATGTCACGTGCTGTGTGTGTAAGGTAGTGTACGCCAGGTTTTTACATGTATCCGTTGATGGGTGTTCAACACTACAGCAAGAATGTTGCAGATGAAAAATCGTATGAAATACTGCTCTGTCGCAATCGCTGCGAACAGACTGCTTTCAGGGCCGGTGAAAAACCCTGTTGTTTTTATGGATATTGCAGCTGACGGCGAGTTCATTGGAAGAATTATTATTGAGGCAAGAATTGGGTCATGATTCATGAACCACCGTTATTTGTAATGTAACAAAAAATGTTTGAATCAGAGTTTGTTACAATGAAAAGAGCTAGGAAAAATAGTTCTTTTTCTTGCCAAGGTTTCCACTGCCTGAAACTAACTTGAATAATGCATGTTTTCACCAGTAGTTTCTGACTGTAAAAAAACAGTTGGCAATTTTTAATAGTAGGCTTATATGTATTATTATTAATAACGATAATTGTAATATAATAATACTTCATAAACAATAAGAATAATGATCATTATTATTATCGTGTTCAGTAAGTATTATTATTAAGTTATATCAATATTCTAAAGACAGGTTTTTTTTACTTTATTTGCAGCTTTATGCTGACGTTGTACCCAAAACAGCTGGTAAGCAAATATAAGTTTCATGAAAATTTAATATATTATATTAATCTAATAATATTTTATGGACTTGCAAAAATGACAGACAAATGAAAATTTACAATTCATTTTAGATATAGTATATAAAACGCATTATAATGTATAAAACATTATTTTAAAATGGTTGTGGTTTTATACAGTGCAGTTCTCATATTGGTTCTTGTCTTTCAGCAAATTTCCGGGCCCTTTGTACAGGAGAGCATGGCTTTGGATATAAGGACTCAGTATTCCACAGAATCATCCCTGAGTTCATGTGTCAGGTAAACTATTAGTGCTACTGTTCATTGTGCCCTTTAGCATTACCATTATTTACTGCATAAAATGCCATTTTATCTCTTCGGTTTTGTTTATTTATTGGTTATGAGTTGTATGTTTTGGTCCTAAGGCCATCTAATGGTTGATGTTTTGCTGACAGGGTGGAGATTTCACTAATCATAATGGCACTGGTGGAAAATCTATTTATGGAAAGAAATTTAAGGATGAGAATTTCATGCTGAAACACACTGGACCAGGTGATGTCACTACTGTTACCGTTACTGTACCATACTTACAATAAACTGTCACAAATAGAGTACAGCTTTTGATTACACATGGGATGAAACATACCATTTTTTAAGAATCTGTAAAAGGTTGTAAACGAAATGTTAGCAATAACAGAGTTCTATGGTTCTATAGTCACGTTGGTAGCTGACAACATAATTTATTCAAAAATATTTAATAATGCAATTTGTCAGTGGAGGACAATCCAATTCTGTGGAAATCCATAGTTCCTTTCGGCATGTGTCTAGACATGGTATCTACTCAGGTCCTCTGGGATCTGATTCAGCTCAATTTCATCATTACAAGCCTGTGGAAATGTGCAAAAACTGCATGTGCCTCTGTTTACAGCCACAAGGTGGTAGTAAGGCTCCCTCAGTTGCAGAAATCCTTTTGTACTCTTCAAACAAATGACCTACTTTCTAAGCAAGTCAAAGCCAGCCTATCCTAGTGCATTTTTGGTGCCAGGGGGATCCTACACCAGCAAACCCTCTTGATAGATTAATATGGGCAAATAGTGTTGGGTTGTGTAATACGTGACTGGATGTAATTGTAGTAGAGAGCTGTAACTTAGCCAACCCAGATGTTGTCTTCTTTCATCCAGTACCCCCTGCTGCTTTTCAAACTCTTATTTTTTATTCTCTGGTTGTTATTGTGGAACTGTTGATTGTTAGATTTCCCCTGAATCTCTATATCATTAAATTATTCAAAGTGACAAATGTGCCTATTAAAAGCATGCAGTAACTCAGGAGGTGGTCTGATTTTCTCTCTGCTTCTCTCTTGTAGGTGTTCTGTCTATGGCGAACTCTGGGCCAAACACAAATGGATCCCAGTTTTTCATCTGCACTGCAAAAACAGAATGGTATGATGGTGGAAAGGTTTTTGGTTTAATTGTTACTCATCCCAAGTGTTGATGTTCCTGTGGTTCTCTTTCAGGCTTGATGGCAAACACGTTGTTTTCGGGCAGGTCAAAGAAGGAAGGGAGACGGTCTCTGTAATGGAGTCCTATGGCCTACATGATGGAGGAACTGTAAAGAAGATTGTCATCACAGACTGTGGAGAACTCAAGTAACCAAGGATGTGCATTCATTTCAATGTGATCAAAGGTTTTCACAACAAAACTGCTTATGCATGTCATTTAAAGTAAATTAAATATATATATTTTTTGTTTTGTTACCTAAGTACCTATTGCCATTTTAATGTGTCAGTCTATGGATCCATTAAGGTGTTTTATGCTTACTAAGTAAGCAAATGACTCTGTAAGTATTGTGATTACTTACCCCTACACAACAAAAATTGCTTATGGGTCAAATGCCATGGGCCACAAGGAAATTTATACTGTTAAAGCCTCTTTTTTTTTGGTTTTGAAATTAGGATAAAAGCTATACAGAGATTTCTAAGAAATCTTTACCTTCTAAGAACTATGCCCAGGAGGTTTTTTAAATAAATAAATTACAAATGAAACTGGTTTTGACATATGGAATTTCTTTCAGGATATTTGCATCCTGTTCCCATTTTTTTTTTTTGTTAATGACTCAAGGCTGTTTTCCAGATGAGGGCCGGCTACAGCTGCAGCAGTATATCTGGTTGTGTGGCATACTTTTTAAATCTGGCTGAGAATGATCCCAAACCCTTTTTTTAGACTCTATCCAGCGACACGATTTCCTGTCCCCCTAAAGCAGGATATGACATCCTGTTTGGCTATGAAGATTCTCCAATGTTAAACTTTCAGCAAGAGTCCTCTGAATATGTTCATACAATAGTTGTGGAGACCGTTGGGAATAAGAGTTTGTCAGATATGTTCCATTATAACTGCAGCCAGCTGACATTCACATACCCTCAAATGAAAATGGTGTGTAGGTGTAGCTTATCACAGTAATGCCTTATGAAAGTAAATTATGAACCTTTGTGGAAAACAGTGCTCTTTCCTAAATGAAACCATATGGGGTCTGAACTCACAACTGGTTTGTTTGACTTCTCCGATTGCAATGTTGCTATAGAGACATTCTCATTCCCGCTCTGTTTAAGTCTGCATTGTTGCAACAAACTTGATATAATTTGGGCCTCCACCCTCTAGTGAAGTTTAAGGGATTTGGAATGTGTAGACCAATTACTTAAAGTTGGCTTCGAGAGTAAAGCCAGCATCATCGCCAAGTCCTGACGTTCACATACAGCGCTCATGTGTTTACAATCATTACAAGTAATTAGGCCGAGCGAAAAAAATACACATCTGTGTCTTCAAACCTGCGCTGTTGCGAAGACCAGGCGAACGCTGAACTGAAAGAAACGCTCTTCGGGGCTATTCGACAGTAAATGAATGTGATGTCAGAATGACAACTGTTCCCCAAGGCTTCAGACTATGGTTTTCGATTACACAAGCATCATTCCCAAGCACCATATCTAAATAATTAATCAGTCCATATGCCTTCAGCATGACTGATTTAAAATGGACACAATTTCCCAACACCCAGACGCGGGCCAAAGAACATGTTGAAATCCAAAAACAGGCTGTACGTATATTTGGCACAGATTGAACAGAAATATATATTGTGTGCTATTCGAAAAAAATGAAACGGAGTCATGATTCACTTAGTCAGTGTTTTAATCGAACAAACTTCTAAAAGCACAGTCTTCAGTTTTCCTAACTAACAAATAAGGCACATATCGGAATGCCGTTTCATGGACGCAGAGCAACAGATTTCATCTCGTCCCACATTCTAGCACATTCTCTCATCAACACTTTCTGTTGCCCGGTCCACTCCAATATGACGACAAATATTTTACAGATATTACAAACATGAGTGTTAAATCAGTACATTCAGTAAATCTATTAATGGTACTGGAAATCCTAGGAGTGAATATGCATTTATTATTAATTAGAGAGGTGTATTCTATAAAAGATATCTTGGCAAGAATTAAACATGTATTAATATTAAATAAGAATACATTGCACAAATGTTAAATCTTGAATAATTTAAAAAACATGCACATGCAAACTTCAGTCCCACACACTTGTTCGAAAAATAGTCCTCGGTTTTTTTTCCATCGGTCCACTCCAATATGACGACAAATATTTTACAGATATTACAAACATGAGCGTTAAATCAGTACATTCAGTAAATCTATTAATGGTACTGGAAATCCTAGGAGTGAATATGCATTTATTATTAATTAGAGAGGTGTATTCTATAAAAGATATCTTGGCAAGAATTAAACATGTATTAATATTAAATAAGAATACATTGCACAAATGTTAAATCTTGAATAATTTAAAAAACATGCACATGCAAACTTCAGTCCCACACACTTGTTCGAAAAATAGTCCTCGGTTTTTTTTCCATACGAAGAAAAATATTTCGACATCATTCCTGGACTTGGCACTAACTGGAGACGGCTAACTAGAGCTCACAGTTTCATAAACGCCTGATTCACAAACACATTTCGACCATGTAAAAGGTTTGTACGTGCAATTCAGTGTAATGGTCAATGACTGGAGTTAGTCACGTTTTTTTTTTGCCACTGTTTTGCGTTTATAAAACACCTCAGTAAAAAGGCCCTACGACTTGCAGTGTGTGAGTCAGCCTCTGTTATGTGAAAAACAGCCGTTTGTGATGTTAGAACGAGTGTTATAGGCTTCCTATAAATGCAAATCAAAACATGCTGTATAGCAAGACACGCAAAGATTCTAAACAATGTTGAAGCACACGTATGCTCGTAACAGGCAAGTTTAATATATACCGATAACATCTAGAATAACAAAACAAATAAAATGGCTTGTTAAGGCATACTAATTATGTACCAACTTTTGAATAATATTCTATGTAGTCATCAATATTTTCTTCATAGAGTAGCTTCTGTTGCATATTTTATACAAAAAAAAGAATTGAATTGTTAAAAAAAAAAGAATAAATATTTCTGTAGGATATAACCAAAGATTATTGTAAAACATCAAAGGAAAAAAAACTCCCAGCTCTTTTGCATCTCAGCATTTTGCCCTTTTTCACATACAAAGTTTTAATATTGCATCATAACATTTCGAAATAGCTAACTTGATAATGATAGTAATCGAATATATACACAAAACACAATAGTATCTTTGTAAGGGAAAACAACAAAATCTTGTCTGGATATCAAATTGTTCCAAAATCTTCATTATCTATATTGTTTCCAAAATACACATACCTTTAATAGAAAATAACAAGTTTATACTGAAAGTGAGCTATAAAAGTCAAGTATATGTATTTCAAGACAAAAACACATGCGCAAAAAGCACTTTGTATAGTTTTAAATGCATGTACACTCTGTCAATACCACAAGCTCTGTCGTTCATTCAATAAAGCAGAAATCAGGGGAAGCTTTTATTTTACGTAAATATGCCTTCAACAAGGGCTGTTATCATTTTAGTCACGTATATAGTGCAATGCAACTATTTTGCAATAATAAAGCAAATTTAATAACGAGGCCTCAATCTAGTGGTGCATTGGGTCATCTGTTAAAGGGTACAGACCTGACAATAAATTGAATTGATCCCAAAGATGCAAGGAAATCATTATGTGTAGACTACCAGCTATGGGTGATCAGCAATGATTATGATGAATCCGCAGTAATCGTTTATTTCACTGGCTATTTTCATTACGGTGTTTATCAAAAAGGAGAGTAACTCATTCCAGCCTAAATGAGGCCTGAAGTAAACCTTGGCGTGTAAGAATGTACGCGCAGCGAAGCCATTAGAAACACCAGAAAAACAGTTACCAAGAAATAAAGGGTCTCAGTAACAATGATGACGTCCAAAGAACAAAGCAGCGACTCGCAGAAACAGCCTTGCTTTTTATTTAACAGTGATCTAATGATTGACTCCCTGGCAGTTTACACTCCTTGAATTTCCCATCAGAATCTCAAACCCATTTTTTCAACTAAAGTAAAATATTGGCTGGTTTACATTTTCAGACATCTAATTGGCTGCTTTAATTCCTCAGCATCATACATGACATTCCTTGGCAAAAATCCTGACTTTGCATAACCAAACTGTTAAGGCACTAGACATTCCCTTCAAACAAGATTCCTATCTTCATCTGAGTTTATCGCAATAAATGAAACATTAACTAATATTCAACAGAAAATATGTGGACTCCAACAATAAGTAAACAATTATACACACTGCATTTTCCATGTAAATGCGTTTAACTTCATATGTACATCTAGGATTAGCAACGCAATTATGACACAATTCTCACAATATCCATCTACGACTTCTCACTGGAACACGTAAAGCTACATTTATTGTTTAATAATCCTGGGCCACACTCAAATATGATCAATTAGTACTTTGTGTGAGCCATAACAAGAGGTAAAGGCACATAGATGAGATCCTGTACACACTTACTTCCATCCAAATATTAACACCCTCCCATCATAATGTTCTCAATCAAATGTCTCTCTCCAAATGTCTTCTGATCAAATGTACCCAAAGTGTTTTCTCATTACATCTAAAAAAAACTCTTCAGCATTACTTACTTTGTCCTTCTTTTCCCTTTACAACCATATACTTGCCCACTCAAATAGAAAATGCTTCTCAAAAATCACAGTTTGAACAGGGTGTAATTCATCAGGTCCGTTTGTAGCCAATGCATAAACATGCACATGTGGGGTAAGGCAATAAAAACATTAAAAACTAAGGATTTCATTCTGAGATATGATCAGAATGATTGTGTAAACAGCGGATAATTTCTTTAATGAAACATTTTAGTGCAAGGGTCAAATTCAACATTCTTAAAAAGAAAGGTTCTTTATGCATCCATGGTTCAATTAAACATCCCTAGAACCTTTTCATTGCACAAAAGGTGCCTTAGGTTATAAAAAATGGTTATTTTAAAAACTGTTCTTCTTCTATGGCATTGCTGTGGGGGGGAAACATTTTGTAACCTTTATTTTCAAGAGTGGAGGATGTGAATGAGTCATTTTTAATTTAAAAATAAATGTTGCATAATATTGAAATGAATTAATGACATTTTCTAGAGCGGTGTTTATATAAGACAGATGCACACTGTTTCATCTGAGATGTGTCATTCAAACACACTCTTTATCCTGAGGCAAATATCTCAGCGAAGAGCAGGCGTTATGTTTGTAAATGTTAGCACATGGACTGAAAAGCTCACATTTTGACCCCTGTACCAAAACACTTCAGCTTTACATGGGTTTCTAAGACGTTTGAAGCAGTTCTCTGGCAACAATTGACAACATAGGTAATCACATTTCAAAGGATGGTGACGGTCAGCTAGCCATGGCTTTGTTTCGATCATCCACACAAATCATTCGACTGCGCAACAACGTAAGGAGCTGATGACTCTGCATAAGCTACAATGGTTTTGCATAGTTGCCAACAACTCGATTCAAATGCCTCCAAGGCTGCATTTAACCAACTTGACAAAAACATCTCGC